CCTCGAGCTCCTCTGCGTACAAGAGATCGGGGTCGCGGCCCTTGCTCTCGGGCAGGAGCTGCGTGCAGACGGCGCCGGCGATGCAGCACCCGAAGAAGACTGTGTGACACGGGTCAGTACAGGCCGAAACCCGAGAGTCAGGGAGAGGTAGTACACACTCCAGAGGACGTTCGGCGTGCCGATGCTGTTCGTGAGCTGGTTGAACGCGAGCGCCGAGATGATGGCGCCCGCCTTGCCGCACGCGGCGGACATGCCGTGCGCGGTCGCCTTGAACTTGGTCGGGAAGACCTCGGCGGGGTAGATGTACGTCGTCGCGTTCGCGCCAAAGTTGAAGAAGAACTGGAGCAGCGAGAAGCAGACGATGAACGCCACGGTGCTCAGCTTGTGGAACATGCCCGCGAGGATGCCCACTGCGCAGCTTGATCAGCGGCGGGGTCTCTGATAGAAGGGACACACACGCGGAGAGACAACACTCACGGAAAAGCGCCTCGAGGAGGAAGCCCATCGTCTGGATCTTCTTGCGGCCGAGCTTCTCGATGGTGAGCACGGTGACGTAGTAGCCGGGGACGAAGCCAAGGGCGGTGATGATCAGGTTGCCGGTGGCGATCTTGAAGAGCCGTGTCCAGGGGTCGCCGCTCGAGCCGTCAAAGTGAATCTCCTGGAGTACGACGTTCTGGTTGAGGTTGATACCGTAGAAGGCAATGTCGAGCAGGAACCAGCAGGAGCAGGTGCCGAGGAGCGTGCGCAGGTGGCGCCACTGGCTGAAGTAGACAAAGAACTCGCGCCAGTGAGCCTTTCGGTTTGCCACGAGCTCGGCTTTTTTCGAGCGTCGGTGCTCCTCGCTCTCGACGTTGGCCTTCTCCTTGTTCAAAGACGTGTCTGCAGAAGAAACGTCCGCGTCACCCTTCTGCTTGAACTCGTCAGGGTTCTCTTCCTCGTGTCTGGGCTTTTGCGACTCCTCGAAGCGCGTCGACTCGGGGAGGGTGAGTCGTTGGTAGAGCGTCCCGAACGCAGGGATGAGCGACAGGCCGATGACAATGCGCCAGACTGTGCAAAGAGTAAGTAAGCGACGAGCGAGAAACCTGACACGAGAGACCTCGCGCACCTCCGTCGACCTTGGACGTGTGGCCGGCTTGCATCGTGCCCTTGTAGCAGAGGAGGACGATCATGGTCACGAGCGCGCCGACGAGACTGCCCCAGCCCTGGAAGGCGAAGATGTACGCGAGCATCGTGCCGCGCTTGCGGAGGCGCGTGCGGTCGGACGTGACGGACGCAGACATGGGGTAGTCGCCGCCGACGCCGACGCCGAGCACGACGCGCCATATGGAGAGCCAGATGAGCACGCCCTTGGGACTCAGGTCGTTCGTCGGGTCCGAGATGCACATGATCGTGGCGAAGATGATGAGCATGAGCTCCTTGCCGTACACGGCCTTGCGGCCAAAGTAGTCGGCCGCGAAGCCTGTTTACGGAGGCGGTGTCAGCACGAGATTTGCCAAAAGCGCAAGCTCTCAGAAGGGCGCACCGAAGGTAAACTGGCCGACAACGGAGCCAATGTTGGCAGAGGCCTTCATGACACCCTGGAGGCCGGCGGGGAGGGCGGCACCGCCGTAGAGTCGGAATTGGAGCATTGTTGCGACGGGCTGTGGATAAAGTTCAGTGCGGCGCATGATTGCAAATGGGACTGTGCACGCACGTTGATGATAAAGAGGTCATATGCTAGGAAAGGGCGAGCAAGCAGTCAGAACGCTGTGCAAGGACAATAGTCGTCGGAGAGCACACTCACCATCGAGGAAGAAGCCGACCTGTGTGAGGGAGAGATGGTGGGTTAGTGTCGTGTGACCGGAAGTATATCCCCAGACGGTGTGGGGGAAATCGAGGGGAAATCAAATATAAATACGTACTCCTGCAATGCCCAAGAGCTTGGCTTCGGGCACGGTGAGGTAGAATGGCGGCCGGTTGTCCTCGAGCTCAAAGTCCTCGAGCCTGGACTTGTACTGGTCATTCTGCTCCGGGTGCGGGGCATCATGATGAGTCCCGGGGATTGATGGTGAAGAGGTAGACATCTTCTGGGGAATCAGTGTAGGCTATCGTCTATCTCGCGGGCAGTATGTACGACGGAGTCGGGTGGATGTTGCAGGTCGTGTGCGTCTGTGCGACGAAGGGGAAGAGCACGAGGAGCAGTTCGGGAAGCGAGCGCAAGTATATATCACGGCAGACGACGCACGTTCGCCATGCCGTTGGACATCAGGAAACCACTCCACCTGGTTCTGGCCTCAGCGGTGTCGAGGAGCAGACGAGCCACCCCGCGGGAAAATTTAGTTGATTCGAGATCTCGTCCAAGGGTCTTGCAAACCGCCGATCCGCACCAGTGCGTCACAACACAACGGCCCAAAACTGCGCCGGATTCCGGTCAAAAAACTCGACAAGCTGTTTTGGGCAAGAACTTGGCTAAGCTAGTCTGTCTTCTGATCGCCCTGGCTAGCAGTGAAGGTGCAGTATGGTAAGTGCAGCTTGACGTGGCACAAGCTCTGGCAATGCCATTTCCTTGTTTCCATCGTCTCTGTTTTCTACAGGACTCGGAGGACAGCGGGGCAAGTCGGCGCAAGCATCAGGCACTGACAGGCAATAATTGAAATTGCGTCGCCGCCACGCATTTACTAAGGCTCTTGAAATTTCTGCAAACTGCTTCTGGGCTACTCGCACGCTGATGCTTGCGGCCGACTATCCTCGACTGCAGAGAATATACTGCAGGCTATTTGAAGGGTTTTTGAGACAGATTTAGTTCACGTAGGGAAGCGGGCAGATTCGGAGAGATCGGATCGAAAACTTTGTGCAAGTTCGGGCCAATCTCTCCCGCGGGTTTCGGAGATGGCATGCGCGATCTTTCCCGATCGATCGTGCCCGCCCCGTTGAGCTTACTGGGTTCAGGACACACCGCTCACGATTCCGGAACCCTCATAGGAAAGGATGCACGGCAGTCAGTAACCCGGCTTACAGAACGTGCATGGCATTATTCGTGCGCGCAGCCCAGTCTTCTGGCGTTTTTCCTGGCTGACATATGGGCGTAGCAATGCCGTATTGCCGGCTCACGCTTCTTGCTGTTCGCAAGAATCTCGATTTTCAATTCACATGTGCACGGCACAGCGTACACAGCACCTCCATATGATGCGTAGCCAGGCTCGCCATCATGAGTCGCCTGTTTATAGCCGCGACACCTCCAGAGACCAGCCATCTTCGCTGTGCGCGCGGACGACTGAGACCCTCTGCACTGAGCATATCGACGCAAGGCCAGCGAGGAGTGATGTGCACCTACGGCAGCATGCGCTGTCGTGTGACAGGTCTTTTGGCACGGTGGGTGCTGTGTTCACGCGCCGTGACCATACCGTCGCGCGTATTCACGGGGACGGGATGGACGGGAGGATGGTGTTTACAGGGTCTGATGTCTACACCAAGAGAGCTTATGTTGTCGTCTGACGTGCCTTTTGGCAGGGCGGGTGTTGCATACGCGCGCCGCAACCATATCGTCACGGATTCACGAGGTCGGGAGGATAGTGTGCTTTCCAGGGTCTAGTGGCTAGACCAAGAGAGCCTACTGTATGTTGTTGTGTGACAGATTTTGTGGCAGAGTGGAGGTTGTATTCATGCGCCGTAACCGTCGCGTATTTACAACAACAGGAGGATAGCGTGCTCACCTCAGGGTCTAGTGGCCAGAATGAAGAGATGACGAAAGTGGGTCAACCGTTCTTGGGGACTCTAGGTCAACGATGACAGCTTTGTAACGCTGTACGAGGATCCTCGAGGGACGCAGCATCTGTCATACAGGCAACTTCTAGCTGGGG